TATGACCGGCACAATCGGTACACCTGCGGCACACTGACAAAAAAGATGACCCAAGATTGGTGTGCCCTTTGCAGGATGCCCGAAATGTAGTAATTCATAATCCTAGTTGGCAGACTGAGGCATTAAGAGTAGACATTTAGATTGTTAGGACATTCTGTAATAAAGCTTCAAACCCACATACAGAGATGGAAAATTTTCAAACAAGCATACTTCAGGGTGTTCACTGAACCAGGAAAATTGGGAGAACCGGAAATTTGTATGTGTCCTGTTGTCTTTTGAAATCCTAATTTATTTTGATATTTTTTTTAGGACAAGAATTTTTTTAAATGTTGTTAATGTCAAGATCTTGATGATTGCTTGAATTGACTGAAATTTGAAATGTTTTGATTTTTTCGGGATTTTAAAAAATGTCCTAATCAGAAGATCTCAAGGTATTTTTTCGAGGTTCCAGGATATGAAAATTGGAATACTTGAGGTCCTAGAATCTTGAAAAATGAATTCTATGTTCCCCATTTTTCTAAGGCTGCGTTCCATTTGATGAGTTTTCACTTAAATTTGACAGATAGAAAATTATCAAATAAACCTGCTAGAATAGCAAACTTATTTCTGACAGGCAAGAAATCAGTTTTGACAGACACGTTCTCGAAAATCGGCCAATCCACAACAGAGGGATTTTCTAACATTTTAATTTATTTTCGAAGTCTCAAATTTAAGTGAAAATTTACCAAATGGAACACAGCCTAAGTCCAAGATCTGCAATATTTTAATTTTTTTGGGATTTATAAAACTTTTTGATTCGTTTTTTTGATTTTTTTTTCAAATAAACCTGCTATTCCAGCAGACTATTTCTGACAGACAAGAAATCAATTATGACAGACACCTTCTCGAACATTGGTCGATCAACAATAAAGGAATTTTCGAACATATTAATTCATTTTCGAATAGTTAAATTTAGGTAAAAACTTACCAAATGGAACACAGCCTTATTTATGGTGAATTTTCACTTAAATTTGACAAGAGATGAACTAGCCTATGGCTAAAAATCTCTATAAAGGGTGATACGGTCAAAATTTGGTCAATATCAACTTGACGTATTTCTTTCAATTTTGCATTTAAAAAACCTGAACACCCCTCATTTTGAAGGTGTGTGTGTGTAGAATGTTGCTCCTATTTTGATTTTGGAATTCACTCTTCAGTTGTCAAAATGCCGTCCAAGCAAGAAGAGCAGCGTATCAAAATTTTGCTCGCGCATCGCGAAAATCCGAGCTACTCGCACGCAAAGTTGGCAAAATCGCTAAAAGTTGCCAAATCAACCGTTACAAATGTAATTAAAGTGTTTGGGGAACGTTTGTCGACAGCCAGGAAGTCTGGATCGGGGGGAAATCGAAAACCGGAAGCCGCTGAGACGACAAAGAGAGTTGCCGGTAGTTTCAAGCGAAACCCTAACCTCTCTCTCCGAGATGCCGCAAATAAGCTGGGTGTATCGTCTACAACCGTGCATCGAGCCAAAAAACGAGCCGGACTATCGACTTACAAGAAGGTAGTGACTCCAAATCGCGATGATAAACAAAATACGACGGCCAAAGCGCGATCCCGGAGGCTGTACACGACGATGCTGACGAAGTTTGACTGCGTGGTAATGGACGACGAAACCTACGTCAAAGCCGACTACAAGCAGCTTCCGGGACAGGAGTTTTATACGGCAAAAGGAAGGGGAAAGGTAGCAGATGTTTTCAAGCACATGAAACTGTCAAAGTTCGCAAAGAAATATCTGGTTTGGCAAGCCATCTGTACCTGTGGCTTGAAAAGCAGCATTTTCATAGCTTCCGGGACTGTCAACCAAGAAATTTACGTGAAAGAGTGTTTGAATAAACGTCTGCTGCCTTTCCTGAAGAAACACGGTTGTTCCGTACTGTTTTGGCCGGATATGGCATCTTGCCATTACGGTAAAAAGGCCATGGAGTGGTACGCCGCCAACAACGTGCAGGTGGTTCCCAAGGACAAGAACCCTCCCAACACGCCAGAGCTCCGCCCAATTGAGAAATACTGGGCTATTGTCAAGCGGAACCTAAAGAAGACCAAAAAAAAACTGCTAAGGGCGAGCAGCAGTTCAAGGCAAACTGGCTTTCTGCAGCGAAGAAGGTGGACAAGGTGGCTGTACAAAATCTGATGGCAGGGGTCAAGCGTAAGGCCCGGCAATTCGGATTTGGAAAAGCGGAAGCCTAACTGAATATTTTTCCTGAATTTTATACTAATTGAACTTGAAAAAGAAATTTAATTTGATTTTTTAAATAAACGATTTCACCGATTTACACGCGTTTTCCCTTGACCAAATTTTGACCGTATCACCCTTTAATAAAGAAAAAAAAAAAAAAAACTTAAATTTGACACTTAAATATAAATTAAAATGTTAGAAAGCCCACTGTTGTTGATCGGCCGATTTTCAAGAAGGGCTTTGTCAAAAATACTTCCTTGTGCCTGGTGGAGTAGCAGAATTATTTGAAAATTTTCCATCCGTCAAATTTAAGTGAAAAAACACACAAAATGGAACACAGCCTCAGCCTTGAAGTAATGGTTAACAATTGTTTGTTTTGAAATTTTATGATTGTAATAGAGATTGAAACGAAACATCAAACCAGTGCCAACATTTCAAAGGGGCGTAATAGTCCATTTTATGAAATGACAGGAGCTGGTTTGCCTGCCAGAATTTGATGATATTGATATTGCTTCTCACAGCCGTTAGGTAACCGCCTCCTGTCAAAGTTCATTCATGAGTTGAACCAGAAACGTTTCATAAAATGCTCTATTGCTTTTGTAAACAATTACTTTAGCCGTCAATTTTCCGCGAATGAAATCTTACCTCTCCAAAATAACAATGCTAGCTGGTAGAGGAAACATTCCTCTACCTGCTGGTGTCATTATTTTTCATGAGTGAGCTTTTATTCGCGAGAAATCGACGGCTAAAGCCATTGTTTACAAATGCAATTACGCCCCTTTGAAATGTTGGCACTGAAACATTGATATTTTCACTCAGTTGACGAATCACATCCCGTCCATCCATACAGCCAAGACACGTGACGTGACGACGACGTCTTCTTTGTCCGCTCCGTTCGCTGAAGGCGAATGTGCGATAAAAACACAAACAGTGCAAATGTAACGGCAAATATCACCACCTCCTACCGTCCTGCGTTTTCAATCCACTTCAAAGACAAGGAATCACAACTCCCGGCCACTTGTGAGACTGATACACTTGCCTAGTCTACTTTCTGACTAATGTTTATGTAGCTGTATGGGTTGACTGTAATGAATCTCATTATTGTCGTCTTTCTTTCGTGTTATTGCCATTTTTTTTCCATAATAAGCACCTCTGCCAGCTGTTCGATTCAGCTGGCTGGACATTGCCTGGTGCCTGGTGCCACAGACAAATGAACGTTACCTATAGATTCAGAGTTTGAGGTTCTGAAGGCTGTGCTCCATTTGGTGAATTTTCGCTTAAATGTGAAAGATGGATTTTTTTCAAATAAACCTGCTATTTCAGCACACGGCCAATGAGATCAACCCAAATTTTAGTTCAGTTTACTCATAATCGCAAAAAGTGCAGGAACTCAGCGATTGGCTTTATGTTTTCCTGTGGAAAAACTGAAAAAATCTGCAGTTCCTGCACTTTTTGCAACTTATGAGTAAACTGAACTCGAATTTGGGTTAATCTCATTGGCCGTGTAGACTTATTTCTGAGCAGTAAATTTTGACAAACATCTTAATTTATTATCGAAGTGTCAAATTTAAGTGAAAATTTACCAAATAGAACACACCCACCAGAGCTTGGTTGGTTGAATTTAGAGGAAAGGAGGTGGTTAATTTCCTTCATTACCAAAACCCATTAGCCATTCGTCATTTGTCACATTATCAGGTGGCAGTTTGACCGTGCCGGTCGATAAATTGCAGTCTGATTGATGTCTGACTACGGCCCACACTAATCCAATCGATCAGGCAGTGGCTGGTAATGACCGCTAGTAGTAGCTAGGCTCTTCTGCAGTATTGGTCATAACATATGTAACTATGGATGGCATTGCATATGTCATCCACGGTGCCGCACTCTTTGGTCTGATTGAAAACTACTTAACCATTCTCGAGGACTGCCAACAAATTCACCGTGGCCAGTCTTCTGCAGAGTCGTCTCGCCCCATAGAGTCACAAGCGGAACAGAGATTGGAGAAGCAGTAGTCTTCTTCTTCTTCTTCTTCTTCTCAGCTTTAGTGGAAAGTCCACTACTGACGAACTGCACTGCCATGTTATAGAAGTAGTATTCGCTAAACGGTAAAATATGCAGGAAAACAAATTGATTAGCGCCAGCTGGGTGGTATAAGTATAGGTATACTATACGGAACTAGTGTGCGGAATACAAACTTCGGTGGGGAATTCGTAGGGTAAGATGGGAATCCCTTTTTCGGACTTAGTAAAATTATTGCGATGGTAATTCCTGGCATGTTTTGTTTCTGCACTGCAACAAATCATCGCGGTATTTCCACGCGTTATTTCAGTAGACTAACATGAAAAATCCTACTCGGATAGAAATCCCCTTATACCTTTTGGTAAATTTCTTTAAATAACTAATAAGCAGACGCCTTCCAAAAAAGTTATTGAAGATCATGTGTCAAATAATGAAATGTATAAACACATACCGTTTATGCATTCGTACAGGATCTATGTCTTATGAAATGTAAAAGGTTGATATGTTGGCAAAAATTTCACTTTTCTTTTCAATAAAGTAATGTTCGCTTCACCCCACGTTCCTCTAGCCGTTGTTTGTCGTTATGAAATTGGCAAACTCGCTCCTCCTAGCGTCATAATAGCATGACTTGTTTACTGGTTCATTCGTCGTTCACTCGTTGCACGAAACACTACTCTGCGATAGGTACCCACCCTACTCTTACATGATTCGCATAGCCTTACAATTATGGAAACTTCCATTAATCCGTTCGCTTTTGTCTCTTTTCCAGATGTCATCACGGTACGATTTGAACGTTCCGGTACCGGGAATTTCTCCGATCGCCGCACTATCCCGAGACCAGAGACGGCCCACTTCGGACGAGGAAATGGTGAACGTTGTCGATCCGGACTTCACCATTCGCAAGCGACGCGTTTGGTCACCCGAAGAGGACGACTCACTGGCCTCGGAGGACATGGACCTGTTGGACGACGATGACGACGAGCTGGAGGAGGAAGAAGACGACGGTGTCGGTTGTCCGCTTCCGTCCACTCCAGAAGATACCCAGCTGCTGGAAGCGGAAATGACCGAAGTCCTCAAGGCTGGTGTCCTTTCGGACGAAATCGATCTGGGGGCATTGGCTCACAATGCGGCCGAACAAGCCGAAGAATTTGTCCGCAAGGTTTGGGAAGCCTCGTGGAAGGTGTGCCACTTCAAGCACCTTCCCGCCTGGCTGCAGGATAACGATTTCCTACACAAAGGCCACCGGCCACCGTTGCCATCGTTCAGTGCTTGCTTCAAATCGATCTTTCGAATTCACACCGAAACTGGCAATATTTGGACGCATCTACTGGGGTGCGTGATGTTCATCGGCGTTGCGACATACTTCCTGACGCGGCCATCGTTCGAAATTCAGCTACAGGAGAAATTGATCTTCCTGTCGTTCTTCATCGGTGCAATTGTGTGCTTAGGATGTTCGTTTGTTTTCCACACGCTATGCTGCCATTCGGAGATGGTGGGAAAACTTTTCTCGAAGTGAGTACTTGCGTTGGAATGATTGAATGTTACTGAAACGGGATTCCGTCTTACCCTTCCAGACTCGACTACTGTGGTATTGCACTGCTCATCATGGGCTCGTTCGTCCCATGGCTGTACTATGGCTTCTACTGTCACTACAAACACAAGATGATCTACTTGACGGTCGTAATTGTGCTGGGCATCACCTCGATCATCACTTCCCTGTGGGATAAGTTTTCCCAGCCGAATCTGAGACCATTGCGCGCAGGTGAGTCGAAAGGTCCGCCGTTGAGGCATAATGGTCGTTTGGCATAATTATATCAAAATCTCTTCCCGATGCAAAAATAACATTCATCATGGTAGGGAAGAACGCTACTTTGTCGTAATCGCCCATTTCCGTTCTATCGATCAGAAATCATCAATAATGTAAATGATTTCACCGTGCACAAATCAATAATACGTTTGTTCCGATCCGTTAGTTCATAAGCCACAACATGAAGCCTATTACAGCGCATTGTATGAATATTTACGCTCATTGTTCTCAAAACAAAAGAAGCGCTCCTAGCGAATCCACTTTTTCTACCATCATCCGTAGGACGAAGAAAATCTAATGGCGTTTCAATGCGTTAGAATGGAATTGAACTACGAGTTTCAATTCCATCCTAACGCATTGAAACAAATTTAGAATCAAGAAGCAGTGTTAAACGCTGACCAGACTGGAGAGTTATAACATGTTATAACGGTTGTCAAATAATTGAAACACAGAAACCACCATCAAGATAGCGCTATAACATGTTATAACTCTGTAGTCTGAACGTAGCATTAGATTTTTAATAATATCTCAACATTGTTATCTAAATTTTTTGTTGATGTTAAGGGGATTAACATCAAGATACTTAAAAAAAATCCGGAACCCTGAAGTTGAAACATGACTGTCATGTTAAGGGGTTAGATTTGGGAAACTGAATACAAGTTCTGGGACCTTGTTTAAGTTTCAGGGCCTTGATGTTAAGGGGTTTAATTTCAGGAAATTTCATTAAAGCTCAGGGCACATTGTCAAAGATTAATGGACTATACATAGTTCAGGGACTTCCATAGAAGTTCAGGAAATTTTAGTAAAACATAACGGGAACTGTGCAGAAAATCAACAATTCTAGGAATTTCGTAGATGTCCAGCGAACTTCATAGTAGTTCAGCAAACTTTGTAGAAGTTTAACGAATTACGTAGGAATTCGATGAACTTCGTTAAACTTCATAGAAGTAGAAGAATTTTTAAACTTCTGGGAACTACGAACTTTACAAAGTAGAAGTTCAACAAACTTTGTAGAGGCTCAGGGAACTACGTAGACGATCATGGACTATCGTTAAATTCTCTAGAACTTCAGGGCTTATTAGTTTATCGATCTTCGTAGCAGAATTTCTCGTCGGTGCCGGATATAAATGGTTGCAACAACAACGCGATCGTATATTGTATGATGTGATATGAGGGACTCGGTGGCTATAGAGCGACCGTTTTTGCTTACTGAGTAGGACATCATGATTATAATCTTAGTTATCTTACAAAAACTTAGTCTCACGTGGTGCGTCGTAATATCAGGAGCTAGTTTCACTAGTAACGTGGGTTCAATCCTTACCTATTTCGCGTTATAAGATCGTTAGGACATCAATTCAGCTTATCGTTTACCAAAACGAATCCTGCTGCAAACCCAACCATTTTATCCAACATCCCAGTGATTTTTCGTGGAAGTGCCGAGGATTCCTCGGCTTCCAACATAGCGGGTATCACGTCAACACATTCCTACCCATTCCTTTTTGACCTGCGTTCGGGCGCGGCTGGCGCTGGTATTGCCTGCTTTGAGGTCACCAGCTTTTACACATTGAAGATCAATGCTAGTCCCAAGCATCGTCTATTGGTTCGCTGTGTAATTACAGCTGATCGGGCAATGACGGAGTAGCAACCGTGGGCGGTCAATCATGCTCATGTTAATGTTGCTCATGCGTAGCAGTTTATTAGATAATTTGAGCTTTCTGGAAGTTTTAGCAACTTGGTTTTGGAAAGATTTTCAGCAAAATTCAAATGAATGGTTTGGGGTCTTCCCGGAAGTTTTAAGCAAATCATGAATATACTGAGATTTTGGTTGAATAATGTGAGCTTTGAGGAGGAAGAAGTTCAGTGAACTTTAACAAATTGAATTTGTTTGTAGAAGTTGATGGCATTAACATTTTTTTTTTGGAACATTTGATGAGTTATAGGAAATTCTAAAATTATAGCTATCTTGCTAGAAATGCAGTAGTTAGTTTGCATTAGCTATGACAAAATCTTAGACGTTGTTAGACGATGATATAAATTCCCACGAGTTCGTTTTAGTTCATAGAACAGAGTGTTAATTCAAGAAACTTTTTTAGAGTACAAAAATTTTAGAAAACTTCATAGGATTTTAAAAAGCTTCGTAGGATTTCAGAAAGCTTCGTAGAATTTTCTAAAGTTTCGTAGAACTTTAGAAACTTCGTAGAATTTTAGAAAACTTCGTAGAATTTTAGAAAGCTTTTCGTAGAATTTTAGAAAATTTAGCAGAATTCCAGAAAACTTCGTAGAATTTTATAAAGCTTTGTTGAATTTTTAAAAAAATCTTAGAATTAAGAAAGCTTCGTAGAATTTTAGAATGTTTCGTAGAGTTTGAGAAAGCTTCGTAGAATTTTAGAAATTTTCGTATTTTAGGAAGCTTTGTAGAATTTTAGAAAGCTTCCTAGAATTTAAGAAAATTTCGTAAAATTTTAAAAAGCTTCGTAGGATTTTAGAAAGCTTCGTAGAATTTGAGAAAGTTTCGTAGAATTTTAGAAAGCTTCGTAGAACTTCAGAAAACTCCGTAGAATTTTAGAAAGCTTCGTAGAATTTTAGAAAACTTCGTTGAATTTTAGAAAGCTTCATATAATTTTAGAAAGCTGTCTAGAATTTAAAAAATCTTTGTAGAATTTTATAAAGCTTCGTAGAATTTGAGAATGCTTCATGGAATTTAAGAAAGCTTTGTTGAATTTAAAAAAATCGTAGAATTTAGAAAGCTTCGTAGAATTTTAGAAAGTTTCATTGAACTTAAGAAAGCTTCGTAAAATTTTAGAAAGCTTCGTAGAATTTTAGAAAGCTTCGTAGAAATTTAGAAAGCTTCGTAAAATATTAGAAAGCTTTGTTGAATTTAAAAAAAAAATCGTAGAATTAAGAAAGATTCGTAGAATTTTAGAAATCTTCGTATTGTAGGAAGCTTCGTAGAATTTTAGAAAGCTTCATAGAATTTTAGACAGCTTCGTTGAATTTTAGAAAACGTTGTAGAATTTTAGAAAGCTTCGTAGAATTTTAGAAATCTTCGTATTTTAGGAAGCTTTGTAGAATTTTAGAAAGCTTCTTAGAATTTTAGAAAACTTCGTAGAATTTAGAAAGCTTTGTAAAATTTTAGAAAGCTTCGTAGGATTTTAGAAAGCTTCGTAGAATTTTAGAAATCTTCGTAGAATAAAAAAAAAAACTTTGATGAATTTTAGAAAGCTTCGTAGAATTTGAGAAAGCTTCGTAGAATTTTAGAAAGTTTCGTAGAATTTTAGAAAACTTCGTTGAATTTTAGAAAGCTTCATAGAATTTTAGAAAGCTTTCTAGAATTTAAAACATCTTTTTAGAATTTTAAAAAGCTTCCTAGATTTTGAGAAAGCTTCATGGAATTTTAGAAACCTTCATAAGATTTAAAAAGCTTCGTAGAATTTTTGAAAGCTTCGAAGAATTTTAGAAAGTCTTGTTGAACGTTAGAAAGCTTCGTGGAATTTTAAAAAGCTTCGTAGAGTTTTTGAAAGCTTCGTTACATTTTAGAAATCTTCGTAGAATTTTAGAAAGCTTCGTAGAATTTTACAAAAACTTCATAAGATTTTAAAAAGCTTCGTAGAATTTTAGAAAGCTTCGTAGAATTTTAGAAAGTTTCGTAGAACTTTATAAAGCTACGTAAAATTTTAGAAAGTTTTATAGAATTTTAAAAAAATCGTAGAGTTTTAGATAGCTTTGTAGTATTTTAGAAAGCTTCGTAGAATTTTAGAAAGTATCGTTGAACTTTAGAAAGCTTCGTAAAATTTTAGAAAACTTCGAAAAATTTTAGAAAGCTTTGTTGAATTTTAAAAAATTCGTAGAATTTAGAAAGCTTCGTAGAATTTTAGAAAGCTTCATAGAATTTTAGAAAACTTCATAGAATTTTAGAAAGTTTCGTAGAATTTTAGAAAGCTTCGTAGAATTTTAGAAATCTTCGTATTTTAGGAACCTTTGTAGAATTTCAGAAAGCTTCGTAGAATTTTAGAAACTTTCGTAAATTTTTTGAAAGCTTTGAAGGATTTTAGAAAGCTTCGTAGAATTTTAGAAAGCTTCGTAGGACTTTAGAGAGCTTTGTTGAATTCTAGAAGCTTCGTAGAACTTAAGAAACCTTCGTAGAATTTTAGAAAGCTTCGTAGAATTTTAGAAAGCTTCGTAGAATTTTAGAAAGCTTCGTAAAATATTAGAAAGCTTTGTTGAATTTAAAAAAAAAATCGTAGAATTAAGAAAGCTTTGTAGAATTTTAGAAATCTTCGTATTGTAGGAAGCTTCGTAGAATTTTAGAAAGCTTCACAGAATTTTAGAAAGCTTCGTTGAATTTTAGAAAGCGTTGTAGAATTTTAGAAAGCTTTGTAGAATTTTAGAAATCCTCGTATTTTAGGAAGCTTTGTAGAATTTTAGAAAGCTTCTTAGAATTTTAGAAAACTTCGTAGAATTTAGAAAGCTTTGTAAAATTTTAGTAAGCTTCGTAGGATTTTAGAAAGCTTCGTAGAATTTTAGAAAGTTTCGTAGAATTTTAGAAAACTTCGTTGAATTTTAGAAAGCTTCATAGAATTTTAGAAAGCTTTCTAGAATTTAAAACATCTTTGTAGAATTTTAAAAGCTTCGTAGAATTTGAGAAAGCTTCATGGAATTTTAGAAACCTTAATAAGATTTTAAAAAGCTTCGTAGAATTTTAGAATGCTGCATAGAATTTAAGAAAGCTTCGTTGATTTGAAAAAAAAAATCGTAGAATTTAGAAAGCTTTGTAGAATTTTAGAAAGTATCGTTGAACTTTAGAAAGCTTGGTAAAATTTTAGAAAACTTCTTAGAATTTTAGGAAGCTTCGTAGAATTTTAGAAAGCTCTGTCGAATTTAAAAAAAAAAATCGTTGTAAAATTTTAGAAAGTTTCGTAGAATTTGAAAAAGCTTCATGGAATTTTAGAAATCCTCATAAGATTTAAAAAAAACTTCGTTGAATTTTTAAAAGCTTCGTAGAATTTTAGAAAGTTTCGTTGAACGTTAGAATTCGTAGAATTTTGGAAAGTTTCGTTTGTAACATGTGTATCGCACATGTTAGAAAACCCACTTTATTTCCAATAAGTCAGCAACCCATCGAGCCGATGGCCGTTGCATTTGCATAAGCACTTTCCCATGAAAGTGTCGTTTTACCGGGTCAATAATTTATGACTGTACCCGATTGTTTCCAAGCTACACGTCGCGCGGCAGTGCCGACTGTGTGGGCTCTCTTTTGCTCTCTCTCTCTCTCTCTCAATCAGTGCATCGATCACTGATTGGTAGTTTCGTAGAATTTCAGAAAGCTTCGTAGAATATTCGAAAGCTTCGTAGAGTTTTAGAAGCTTCTTAGAACTTTAGAGAGCTTCGTAGAATTTTAGGAAGCTGCATTGAATTTTAAAAAATTTCGTAGTATTTTAGAAAGTTTCGTATAATTTTATAAACTTCGTAGAAGTTTAGAGAGGTTCGTAAAATTTTAGAAAGCTTCGTAGGATTTTAGAAACCTTTATAGAATTTGAGAAAGCTTCGTAGAATTTAGAAATCATCGTAGAGTTAAAAAAAAATCTTTGTAGAATTTTAGAAAGCTTTGTAGAATTTGAGAAAGCTTCGTATAATTTTAGAAAGTTTCGTAGAATTTTAGAAAGCTTTCTAGAATTTAAAAAATCTTTGTAGAATTTTAAAAAGCTTCGTAGAATTTGAGAAAGCTTCATGGAATTTTAGAAACCTTCATAAGATTTTAAAAAGCTTCGTAGAATTTTAGAAAGCTTCATAGAATTTAAGAAAGCTTTGTTGATTTAAAAAAAATTCGTAGAATTTTGAAAGCTTCGTAGAATTTTTGAAAGTATCGTTGAACTTTAGAAAGCTTGGTAAAATTTTAGAAAACTTCGTAGAATTTTAGAAAGCGTCGTAGAATTTTAGAAATCTTCGTAGAATTTTAGGAAGCTTCGTAGATTTTTAGAAGTTTCTTAGAACTTTAGAGAGCTTCGTAGAATTGTAGGAAGCTGCATTGAATTTTAGGAAATTTCGTAGTATTTTAGAAAGTTTCGTAGAATTTGATAAGCTTCGTAGAAGTTTAGAGAGCTTCGTAGAATTTTAGAAAGCTTCTTAGAACTTTAGAAAACTTCGTAGAATTTTAGAAAGTTTGGTAGAAGTTTAGAAAACTTCGTAGAATTTTAGAAAGCTTCGTAGAATTTTAGAAAGCTTTGTAGAATTTTAGAAAGCTTTGTAGAATTAAAAAAAAATCCTAGAATATTATAGAGCTTCGTAGAGTTTTTGAAAGCTTCGTAGAATTGTAGAAAGTTTGGTAGAAGTTTAGAAAGCTTCGTGAAATTTTATAAATCTTCGTAGAATTTTAGAAAGCTACCTAAAATTTTAGAAAGCTTCCTAGAATTTTAGAAAACTTCATAAGATTTAAAAAGATTCGTAGAATTTTAGAAAGATTCGTAGAATTTTAGAATGTTTCGTAGAATTTTAAAAAGCTTCGTTGAACATTAGAAAACTTCGTAGAATTTTAGAATGCTTCGTAAAACCAGCGTAGAACTCTATAAATCTTCGTAGAACTTTAGAAAACTTAGTAGAATTATAGAAACTTTCGTAGAATTTTAGAAAACTTCGTAGAATTTCAGAATGCTTCTAAGAAGGAACAAGAAAAATTTTATTTTTTTAAGTTATGAAGGGAAAGAAACATTCGGCGCTGCGTCAAAAAGCGCATCGTAAACGTATACACCCTCGTAAATGCGTAAACTTCCATTACACTCCAATGGACACTGATATTTTAAGATACTGTATATGTTTACGATGCGCATAGTGAATTCCCCTAATATATAAAATGATATGAACAATTTAACCAGCCCAAAATTAAATGGATACCTAAAATTGCCTTTGCTATAATTGCCACTGCTATAGGATTTATAACATTTGTTTACAAGTTTCATAAACCTGCAAAACTGTATGAACACTCTTTGAATAGTGGGAGAAAATTCATAACACTTCAAGTCTATTGTGGTCAAAAATGTAAATAATTTATCGTACAATAAAATGTGTAGAGCATGAGCATGATTGACCGCCTGATCAGCTGTAATTACACAGATAACTAATAGACGATGTTTGGGACTGGCAATCATGCTCAATGTGTAAAAGCTGGTGATCTCAAACTAGGCAATTTAGCATAATGGTCCTGCTTGGGTGGATTTTTGCTTTGATTGCTTGGAGTAGCACTTTTATGATTAAATAATGATTCAAAGAAACGTAGACAAGGATTGCCAAGGATAGGGGAAATGGGTGAATTTCTGTCCCTAGCGTTGAGTTCGGAAACAGTCAGAAAATAACTTCAAAGCAGGGTTGAAAAAGTTCACGATATTTCACGAAGTTCAAAAAGGTTGACAGTTAGGGGGTGACTCCTAAACCATTCGCCCGCCCGGGTGTCACCGAGTCACGCTACAAGTTGTAAGTTGTAATAATTATTGGCGCTTTGTCACTGTTCCTATTTCACGCAGCCAATGAAATTAAAATTCAATAATTGCAATTTGATACTCAACTAACCGTCTGACACTTTCTATTCTATTAAACCGCATTGAAATTGTATCGTTTCCATTGTGTTATGTCAAACGACTAAATGCCAAACGGAGTAATCCCCGGTTTAACACTGGGCACTGACTTGATAATGATGTGATGCTTTTTTGCAGGTGTCTTCATGAGCTTCGGTCTATCCGGCATCATCCCGGCCATTCACTACGTCCTGATGGAGGGTTGGTTCAGCAAAAACTCCCAGGCCAGTCTCGGTTGGTTGATCCTGATGGGCTTGCTGTACATTCTGGGAGCCCTGTTCTACGCCCTGCGAGTGCCCGAACGATGGTTCCCCGGAAAGTGCGACATTTGGGTAAGTGTTTGACGAAAATCAAGAAAAGAAAATGCATCTAATTATTAACTTATGCACTGGTGTTGTTCGTGTACAGTTCCAATCGCATCAGATTTTCCACGTGCTCGTGCTGGTGGCCGCCTTCGTGCACTACCACGGAATCAGCGAGATGGCCATGTACCGGGTTACGGTCGGCGAGTGCGACATCCCACACCAACATCCGGCGATCAGTTTTTGAGGCTCTTCCTACGTCTAAACGCTCTAGATGAATGCAAAAGCCTGATTTCGGTTTTCCCATTCTTTCTTTGCTGTGTTGAACTTGTTGTCAAATCTAATACCTTATATAGAAATATGTACTCTTGGATTAATTTATGTTTAGCCCCGTTTTTGTTGAAGTAGATACAGGAAATCTTGCAGCAGAGATGATTTTTCTTTAAATTTGTTTAATATTTTTCTTGTTTTCTAGAATGTACACAAACTAATATATGTTATACGAACCCTAGTATCAACCAAGTCATTAAACTTTCATCTTCTCTAAACAAAACAACAACACTACTTAAACGGAGTGCTACTTGCTTCACCGGAATGGACACAGTCGCAGTGCGAAGCGTTGCCACTCCGTTCGAGAAGTCGCGACGCATACAAACACCCATATTCTCGTTTACGATCGAACCGCATTTTGCAAACAAAACAAAAAATGTGTTTTTATAGGAAAAATACGTTTCCGACCGTAAGCGAGGATAATGGTGAATGCTTTTTCGTAGTATTTTTCCTAATAAAACGAAACTATTTTTCATTACGAAATAAGTCAATAAGATATGAGAAGAAGAAGAAGAAAAAGATAGAATCACTTTAAAAATACAATTGTTTGTGCAAGCAGAAAACACGTACACATATATAAACATAGGACAGAGGTAAGTTAATTGAATAAATGACAACAAAAGATTGCTAAATATGGCGGTAAAAGTGAAAAAATGAAACATATAAAAAGCATAGAACATATACGTGAGAACAAGAAACAAAAACAAAAACTCTTGTGACGCATAATTTATTCATGATACATACTGCTGATTCATCGTAGCAGAAAATAATACAAAACAATAAAAAAGGTGTATGTGCTATGGAATACGAAACAACTGATGGACATTCTCAATGTGTACATATTCGAAATTTTCCTGGCTAAACATTTCGCTTACTCCGGACTCCGAAGCATTAGTACAAGCAGCATCCACTTAAACATGTACAAAGGACTCAACAAATGACGCACGGCCAATCAGAATAACTCGGAGAGGCACTTCTACCATAGAGGTAACTCTAAGACCAGAAGGCCCCGAAGAAACGTGCTCAACTTTTTGGCTCAGCTCTGGTACTATCTTCGGTCCCAAGCTAATCGATGCACCCCTCGAAACATGGGAAAATCAACGAACCCCACGACCATCCACATTCAAGAATATTCATTCGTTTTATTTGTTAACATGACTACATGGACAGCAACTCGATGACTAAAAAGGAGCTCATCTGCCGTTTTTGCTTACTGAGCAGAAGACCGTCGGTTCAATCCCAAGCTGCTTCGCGTTATATGATCGTTAGGACATCAATTTAGCTTATCGTTTACCAAAACTAACCTTGCTGCAAACCCAACTCTCTTACCCAACATCCCTGTGATTCCTCGTGGAACTGCAGAGGACTCCTCGGCTTCCATCAAAGCGAGTTTCACGTCAATACATTCCTACCCATTCCTTTCTTGACCTGCGTTCAGGCGCGGCTGGCGCTGGTATTGCCTAATTTGGAATCACCAGTTTTTACACATTGATGATGATTGCTAGTCCCATCGTCTATTGGTTCTCTGTGTAATTACAGGTAGTCTGGCAATAACAGAGTAGCAACCGTGGGTGGTCAATCATGCTCATGCACATGGCCGTGTGAAGAATATCTAAGGATCCACAGAACTATGAAAAAAAAGCGATTTTTTCAAGAGTGAGCCAAAGATGGGTCCACTTTATTATAAAAAGTAGGCTTGAACGATCTTGAATAATGTTAGGCTGCAGGTCTGATATCGACATCCTGGCACGGAACTTTGATATGATGGTGGAAACGTACATCAGACTGAAGGCTGAAGCCATGTGCGAATTGGACTTGCCATCAACGCATCGAAGACGACATATATGAGAGGAAGAGGTTCTAGGGAAGACGATGTTAGCCTCCCACACCGAGTTCAGATTGACGGTGACAAAATCGAGATGGTCGACGAGTTCGTGTATTTGGGCTCACCGGTGACCGCCGATAATGATATCAGCAGAGAAATTCAAAGACGCTTTGTGGCAGAGAATAATGCCTACTTTGGACTCTGGAGAACGCTTGGGTCGAATAAAATTCGCCGCCGCACGAAGCTGACTATCTAAAAGACGCTGATTAGACCGGTGGTCCTCTACGGCCACGAGACCTTAAATATGCTCGTGGAGGACCAACTTGGTGTATTCGAACGGAAGGTGTTGCGTACAATCTACGGTGGAGTGCAGATAGAAGACGGAACGTGGAGGAGGCGTATGGGAGAACCACAGTAAGAACAACCGGTGGAAACTAACGATTTTAAATTGGCTCACTACTTGACTAGCCTATTGGTCCCAAGCAAATCGATTAACGTATCCCATTCTAGTTCAAATTCTAGTTGTTTTGATTCGCTATGAAAGTTTGACAGATAGAATGAGGGGTTAGTGGATTTTCCTATGTTTCGAGGGGTGAATCGATTAGCTTGGGACCGAAGATAGTACCAGAGCAAAAAGTTGAGCACGTTTCTTAGGGACCTTCTCGTCTTAGAGTTACCTCTATGGTAAGTATATCGAACCCGATGAAAATGGTTCTTGATAGCGACCCGACTGGACCAAGACGAAAAGGCGCGCAACGGGCATCAACCAGGTGGAATGCAACTAGGGACTTGTAGCTATGGATCGAGGGGAATGGAGGCGACTGCTTCGTACAGCACAGGACTTCCCGTCCTTAGCCTGGATTTAGAAGTAGCAATACGTTTCTAAAGTTATCTTCCTCAAATAAACCAATCAAGCTCTGTAATTCTTCCCTCATACATGTTTCTCTGTTGAATTTAATCAAAACCGTCTATGACTATTTACGCTAACTACCGGCTTACTGTCTTGGCTCTGGGTCATAGGTTTTTGTATAGATATAAGCGAATTGAGAAATAAAGACTCACTCTTGACTTTAGTTTTAGAACGTGTACCTCGTGTCAGTCGTTCCGAAAATACCGGTGGGCAAACCACCATTCCGGCTTCGGTTTTGGGTCCTGTCTGTAATATACTCAGTTTGCAGTGAATTTGATTTAATGTGTAGGAATCCTACCCCTCTTATCATCAACGCTAGCTGACAAGTTTCGATAAGAGTTGTCTAAGAAGAAAACAAAGAAGAAGATACTTTTCGTGTACGAGGTTTACTGATACCAAGAGGAAATAAATGAGCTCTCTTCTGTTGCTACTGTTTATTAAAAAGAAGGATATTACAGTGGCGACGAGGATGGGATAAACTCTTTGAGCATTATTTAAAGAAAACGAAGTAAACCATATGGGATGCTCTTTTCCATTGATCATGTGTGAAATAACTCCACCTAAACCATACGATGAAGCATCCGTACTAACAATTATAGGTCTCTTTGGATCATAAAAGGTAAGTATATTTGCAGCAAGTAATTTACTTTTTGATTCCTGAAAAGATTTCTCACAACTCCATTCATACGTAACATTCTTTTTAAGTAACCCATACAAAGGATTCAATGTAATGGAAAGATTGGGTAAAAATTTGTTGTAATAGTTGAGAAGCCCCAAATAAGCTTTCAGCTCGCTCACATTTTCAGGATTTTTTGCAGCTTGTATAGTAGAAACTTTTTCCGAATTTGGCAAAAGACCCTTATTTGAAATTATGTGCCCCAAAAACGGTGGTTGCGTTACGAAAAATTTGCACTTTTTATAGTTAACCTTTATAAGGGTCTGCGATAACCGTTTTAAAACTTCCTCCAATTTACTCATACACTCCTCTGTAGTCCTTCCTGCAATCAATACGTCATCAAGATAGACAAACACAAACTCAGTTCCCTTTAAAATATCTTCCATGATTTGCTGGAAGATTGCTGCACTTGACGATTCATGTCCTCAGCGACCTCGCACCATAACAAATAAAAGGCTAGGGAACCCCAACGAACAACGCGCAGAAATGAACTATTCCTGAAAACGTCAACGGTTATCAACTTTTTGACTAGTGGAAAATTCCATACGAATTGCACACAAGTAAATCAAAACTACTTTGACCAACTTGACATACCTACTCTTGGTTTCCTGCACTACAGAGCCGATATGAGTGAAACAAGCTTACTTTTGGGTACTTTTTTACCGTGTAGGTGACTCCCTCTCCCCTCGCTCTCCCCAGAGAGGTTGATAGAGACGCGCAAAGAAAATTTCTGTCAAAACAGCAGCACGGTTTTTGAGCGATCTTTTGGCAATGTCACTGGCAACCTAGCTGGCAACCATGTTTCTTCGAGTGGCTTAAAATGGGCCGTATGAATAAAAAGAGTTTACTTTACTTTCCCGTGCTTTTTTTACGGGAAAAGTAAAGTAAACGCTTTTATTCATACGACCTAATGACTTTCATAGAGTGCCGCTATGCTGTTGAGAAAATTTGAACATTCGAGCAGCAGGTATCCACTGTTCAAATGAAAGCTGATCAATGCATTTTTCCTCTAATTGTTTTAATAAAATGTTTTCTAATGCGGAAGAGTCTGGACAATCTTCACAACACCGTAGATAGCAATATGTTGTCTTGTTTTCACAAAGTAGGCTGTCAGTGAACGTTTTTACATCATTTAAATGGTTAAGCTTTTTCAAACTGTGTAAAATTAGATTGATGTTTTCATGCGTTGTGCACACGCAAACATTGTGGGTTCCAGAGCTGGTTAAAAGTTTACATTGCTTAGGGCGGAGTTTTGCAAATGAAGAGAATCCAATTTTTACATTGCAGTGAATTTCATTGAATCGTTTATAAGCTTCTCTCAAAGTCATCATTAGTAATCTTTTTTGAATGGCTTGTCGTTTTCCTTCTTTCTGCACAGACACATAATCTTTTTGACCAGGCATTGCCCGGCTTATATCATCATCTTCAAAAAAATTTATGACTGCCAATTTTGTTTCATCACTTAAGGCTGTGCCATATTTTGCGGTTTTTGACGAATGACCTTCCTTTATCAACTTAGCCTCTGTTGCAATATATCTACTAGCATTAAATTGATCCATAACTTTTTGTGTTGATTATGAATAAGGCAATAACGATAAAATTAATAATTTTTCACTTCTTGCAGTGGATGCATTGGAAAACTTTTCCTTCATGTTTTCTAAAACTTCTTTGAGTTCATTCACTTCGTCAGCCTCAGGCTCGAAGTTGAAAAGATTCTTTCTAATACCTTCGTTGATTTCACGGTGCTTCTTTTCGGGGTAGTGGATGTAGTTGAGTTTTCCCACGTCTATCAGTGATACCTGGATTCCTGCAATGCCTCGGTTGAATATCTCGATGTTGACTAGTTGAGTAAATTCTTGGTACGATTGAACTGAAGTAACTGATGTCATTGATGGTACAGTTGTAAGGCTTTCACAGCTCGGTACGACAGGTACTATCACTGTAGTTGGCATCTTTGAGCTTCCGGCAACATGCTGTTCCTCGTTTGAGATGAAAAGAGCTTGTTTATCAACACGAAGACGACAGGACGTGCAAATGCGAAAACCAGTATTCAATCCTGATGCTTCAGAATATCCAATCGGTATTAATTTCTGGATGGTAATATTCGAAATATTCCTCAGCTCTTTCGAGCACTTGACTTCCTCGAACGGCCGAATGCACCTGATAAAACATGCTCAGTTGTCCCACAGCTGTCTACAGCAGCAGTCGATTTTTTATTTCGTTGTGAACCACGCGATAGCCTGTTTTCGAGACTTGCT